GTAACATTATGAGTTGTCTGAAGTAAAATATCTACACTGTCGTGCACACCATTGTGAGGTTTTTTTGCAGATACCAACATAATCATCGGTTGCTATTTGGACCATTTGCCGCATTTGCCTCCCTGCAGGTTTGGCCAAAAACAAAAGTCAAGTTTAAGAATCTCGATTGTGACAAACATTGCATATCCAGTGCCCACAGCACTAAACAAAACCACTGGGTCCAGTGTTTTTGTTTAGTTTATTTGAATCATCTATTTGGGCTGTGGTTTGTAAATGGTTTACATTTACTTCATGTATGTTTTGGTGTATTTAGTGCTGCTACTTGCTCCTGGTTGCTTTAGAGTTTATTCCTCCCTCATTGTTTAATCCTCTTGTGTCTAGGCTCCCATGTTTATGCTGCGTTACAGATACCTCAGAACTCGGATGTTGGGAGTTAGCGTGCTCTTGAAAAAGTGAGGAAAAACAGGATTTGATTCCTTAGCAAGGTAGAATCATTCAGGTATCACTAGCAGTAGAGCACAATATACAGTGGGGCAAAAAAGTATTTAGTCAGCCACCGATTGTGCAAGTTCCTCCACCTAAAATGATGACAGAGGTCAGTAATTTGCACCAGAGGTACACTTCAACTGTGAGAGACAGAATGTGAAAAATAAAATCCATGAATCCACATGGTAGGATTTGTAAAGAATTTATTCGTAAATCAGGGTGGAAAATAAGTATTTGGTCAATAGCAAAAATACAACTCAATACTTTGTAACATAACCTTTGTTGGCAATAACAGAGGTCAAACGTTTACTATAGGTCTTTACCAGGTTTGCACACACAGTAGCTGGTATTTTGGCCCATTCCTCCATGCAGATCTTCGAGAGCAGTGATGTTTTGGGGCTGTCGCCGAGCAACACAGACTTTCAACTCCCGCCACAGATTTTCTATGGGGTTGAGGTCTGGAGACTGGCTAGGCCACTCCAGGACTTTCAAATGCTTCTTACGGAGCCACTCCTTTGTTGCCCGGGCGGTGTGTTTTGGATCATTGTCATGTTGGAAGACCCAGCCTCGTTTCATCTTCAAAGTTCTCACTGATGGAAGGAGGTTTTGGCTCAAAATCTCACGATACATGGCCCCATTCATTCTGTCCTTAACACGGATCAGTCGTCCTGTCCCCTTGGCAGAAAAACAGCCCCATAGCATGATGTTTCCACCCCCATGCTTCACAGTAGGTATGGTGTTCTTGGGATGCAACTCAGTATTCTTCTTCCTCCAAACACGACGAGTTGAGTTTATACCAAAAAGTTCTACTTTGGTTTCATCTGACCACATGACATTCTCCCAATCCTCTGCTGTATCATCCATGTGCTCTCTGGCAAACTTCAGACGGGCCTGGACATGCACTGGCTTCAGCAGCGGAACACGTCTGGCACTGCGGGATTTGATTCCCTGCCGTTGTAGTGTGTTACTGATGGTGACCTTTGTTACTTTGGTCCCAGCTCTCTGCAGGTCATTCACCAATTGTAGATTCACTCTTCCCAGTCTGGTGCAGGTCTACAATACTTTTCCTGGTGTCCTTCGAAAGCTCTTTGGTCTTGGCCATGGCGGAGTTTGGAGTCTGACTGTTTGAGGCTGTGGACAGGTGTCTTTTATACAGATGATGAGTTCAAACAGGTGCCATTCATACAGGTAACGAGTGGGGGACAGAAAAGCTTCTTACAGAAGACGTTACAGGTCTGTGAGAGCCAGAGATTTTCCTTGTTTGAGGTGACCAAATACTTATTTTCCACCCTGATTTATGAATAAATTCTTTACAAATCCTACCATGTGAATTCATGGATTTTTTTTTCACATTCTGTCTCTCACAGTTGAAGTGTACCTCTGGTGCAAATTACTGACCTCTGTCATCATTTTAGGTGGAGGAACTTGCACAATCGGTGGCTGACTAAATACTTTTTTGCCCCACTGTATATATTCTTTTGCACTTAAACACATTCATGACTAGAGCCTGGTCAGTGCTCTGCATATAGCTTATTGAGTGAAACATAAATGAACAACAGTGACGTTACAGGATAAAAGTTTAAGTTTTACCTCTGTTTATATTCAGTGGCACCATCTTGCATTGTTAACTCGGGGTTGCTGTGGCTGCTTCGTCTTTCTGAGTGGGAAATCTGAGTTAGAGGGACTTTCCACGTTTCACAATGGAAACTTGGAAATTCAGATTTTCTCAGGAACTCACTGTTAGTTAATTTGTGTTTCTGCATTTCCTGTTATCACACTTGCTGTTTTACTTTGAGAGTCAGTGTTCTTGGTGCTTTGCTTTTAGTTTTGCTTCCTTTGTCTTTTTTCCTGTGATTTAGTTCTCCTGTGTCTCCACTTCCCTAATCACCCTGTGTCTATCTATTGTGTCTGTATTAACTTGTCCTTTGTTGCATCCTCCCACGAAGTAATATCTTTTCCTTGTTCCACGTCTCCCCAAAATTCCTAGTTTTTGATTGTTTGTTTCAGCTCAGCTCATGCCTGTTTTTTATGTTCTAATGAAGACGTTAATGCTTGCTGTCAAAGTGTAACAGGCGCAAGTATAACAGGACATCTAAAAAAAAAAAAAAAAACATCTAAAAATAGCAGTGGAACTGAAAATGGTCCAGATGTGCAGGACAAGGTGAACTTGAAACTGACATGGGCAAAATTTAAATCAGGTATGGACTGCTCTCCAAAGTTTTTCTTGCACAAGCCCCCTGCTAGATATGCTCCCACTGGGCATGTGCAGACTGATGGTGGTGAGACCACAGTTCATAACAAGCAGAAGTCAAGGTTCTTAGCATCCAGCAGCCTTCTGGTCAAACACTCCTCTATGAGTGTTACATGCAATATAAATCACTGTCGACCTGCTGCACTGCAACCGCTTGCTGCTTCTTTCTTCTGCTTCATATTCAGACCCATTGATACTAACGCGGTTTCCTCGCTCAGCCATCATTTTGCTGAACGGCACATGAGAGAGAAAATGGAAGCCCTGCGATCGTGCGCAGTGTGTTTTTTAAGCATTGGCTCTGTCTCTGGCTTGTTTTCCTTTAACCTGCCGCACATCAATCACAGCCGCCAACAAGATTAAAATTAAAAGACTTCAGAACTACCTGCTACAAGTGAGATCCTTCCCAGACGACATTGCACTCCTTATTTTTCATACTAGCGTGGATCAAATAAAATTTTATCTAACCCAGCAGCATTATCTGCCAGTGCCGGAAGATAATTTGACTGAAGAAAAAACAAAAAAAACAAAACATGAAATGAGCTCCCCAAGCCTGGATAGGAGATAACATCACCTGCCGAGCTTGCACTTTGCCTCAAACTTATTTTGTTCAACGTGAGCTTCGATTAATGATTCTGGACGCTTGACAAAGACGCAGGAAACATCTGCAGAGAGCACAAATGTTGTGTGCTACAATATTAAATCAGCGCTGCTCAGTCAACTTTCCCCAGACCAAGGAAAGGTTATTAAATCAACAGAGGAAATGGTGTCGAGGCTGTGGAGCGTGGCTTTGTTTATTTACAGCGAGGAGAGCGCACAATCAGTCCGCCTCCCGCTGCAGTGCAGCCATTTTCTCAAGGGAAACTTAACGTTTCTCCAGCAGCCCTCCAGGCCAGAGACTGACCTCTCTACCGGCTACATTACTGACTCAAGAGATGGAGGAGGAAAGGAGAAGCTGCGCCTTTCCACTCAGTACGTTTGGAATGCAATATCAGACCGTAGGCTGCAGTGATCCCAGAGGTTCGTTTACACAGTTTCACACCTGAGATTTTTATCAGCCTCTGCAGCTCTGAAAGAGAATCAAGCTATTCATGAACATTTACTGGTTGTGATGGTTTTACTATGTCGAATTTAAGACTACGAATTTAATGCCTTATTTGACCTAGTTTCCCTCTGAGCACTGAAACAAAGAAGGACTTTGATCTAGATCATGCTTTTTAATAATTGGCTTTATTTTAAAACCATATTTCTTTTAGTTGGGATTTGCTGAAGCATGAAAGAGCCCTTTGTTTCCAAGTTGTTCTGTAAAGTCACACAGACTTAACTGCAAGTGGACCAGTTATGTTTTACATTATACGCTCTGATTTTTATTGCTTTTTAGAATATCTTGATTGTCCTGATTGCCAGGACCTGGGTGAACAAAAAGAAAAAGAATAGAAAAATTTCAAAACCATCCAAAAAGTTAAAACCAAATCAGCAAATAAGCACTGAATCATAGTTAACGCTGTTTAGAAGTCTTCAAATAATGATTTAGCGGCCTTCAATCTGCAGTTTGCGACATAATTAGATAATTACCGGCTGAAACGTTGAAACAGTAGTAGTTATTTCCTTTTTTCAAAACGTCTCTGATTATTTTTCAAGCTGTTATTTTTGTAAAACAGCTAATGGCTACAGGAGGCTAATATGATACATTTATTAGCCTGCTAATTCAAACACCAGAGCTGCTAAGATAACAGTTGTAGTTTTTGCAGAAACAACTACACTGGTAGAAAGCTTAAAAAGCTGTTGAATGCAATGTTTTAATATATGACTATAAATACTGCTTAGAACAGCTTCAAAAATAGAAAATCTTGTTGCTTTTTGGCAGTTTGAGGTACGTACACTCTAAGAAGGGAAACGAGACAACGTGACGCATCTGGCAGCTCAGGAAACAGACTCTGATGAGTTGATTTAATCCTAGAAATGAGTGGAGGCTGCTGTCTGCAGACAGATAACCCTCTGTAACATTATCACCTTTATGTGGATAAAACAAGCAAGATAAAACATGTAATCGCTGAACTTTAGAGTCGATAGTTTTCTCCTGTCTCAAGTCTTAAAGCTAATCTGTGACATCTCGCTGCATCTAAATCTCATCAGGAAAGCTAATAATCTGTTTTTAAGGTGGAGGCACATTAGAAAGACTGTTGACAATCTCATCCTTTTTCTGGGGACTGATTGCCTCAGGTACCGATGAGCATGACCGTTATTAGCTGGGTGTCACACTGACCTATGAGGCTGTCTGGGCGGGGCAGAGCGCTCCTCTGGTACAGGCCGTATGGATCGGCGCCGTACGCCAGCGGCTGGCTCTGCCTGGGGAGGGTGGAGCCGTAGTGCTGCGGCACCGCCGTCATTCCTGAGCGCAGCGGTGACCCCATTGAACCCCTCCCCTCGATCAAGGAAAGGGAGGACCCCAGACGTCCTCCACTTCCTCCTCCTCCTAGTCCGACTCCTCCTACAATTCCACCTGCACCACCCCCTCTACCCTGGGTGCTCTCAGTCGGGGAGGTCGGCGACGGGCAGGAGGGCGGCATGGTAGTGCCTGGGAAAACAGCGGCCAGCGGTTTGGGCTCAGACAGGATGGGCGAGTCATACGTGCTGCCTTGGGATGTTCGCAGGGAGATGCGGGAAGGTGAGACTGTGCCGGCGGTGCCGCAGCCAGGAGACTGGCTCCTGGAGGGGAGGGAGGCCATCCTCCGTAACACCCGGCTGGAGGCCTGGGAAACCAAGAGGAGAAGAAATATTACAGTTTACCCTTCCAGAGAGTAGAGTGTGACATTTTATTCATCTGATAATGAGGCATGAATTTTTATTACACCTTCCTAAAGTGCCCTTTGCATCTCACAGGTCATTACGTTTGTGCAAAAACCATTAAATTGCCCTTATGTGCTGTTTAAAATGTGCATCATGTTCAGTGATGTGCTTGGAAGGGTGCAGAAAAAAAACGAAACAATTAAAAACACTGAAAATCCGTATTCTTATTTTGGATAATTGAAATTAAATAAATATTCCAGTAGTCCTGCCTGCCTGCATCATTATTAAATGACATTTAATGGCATTTTATTCATTTCTAATTAACATTCACTTGATTCTTTGCTCCTCTGTGACTAAAAATGTCAAGTATAATACCCGTAACAGTGTTGACAATTAATCACCTCAGCATTTTGGTTTTCTAAATAAATACCTGACAAATGAACATTAAATTCTGCACACTGCGCCTCTCCCATTTGCAAATATACTCGCCAATTAGGAGTAATGCCACACTCTCAGACAGCGCACTTCATCACGTCTGATGAAGAGCATCGTTATCTTTTCCATTTGTCCAAGAAGCTGAACGTGCTTGCCTCTGGGAAAACGTCCTAATTCATTACACTTCAGACTGAGCGTCACTTTTTAGGGAAGATTTGACAGAATTTTCCTGATTTATGGTGACAAACATTTTCCCTTTTTTCTTCTTCTCCTCATTTATGAAATATAGAATGTCTCCTAATTACAGACTCAGCCAACTGGATGCCGATCTGTGCCGCCTTAATCCATCGCAGCCTCGAACGCCTCGAAGGGAAATTAAGAGCGGAGACATGTAAGCCCATCCAGTGAGGCTGCTGGGTTTGGAATAAATCAGGAGAAAATTCAAACAGGCTCACCATTATCTGTCATTCCTACTCCTACTTTCATTCTAAGTGCGTATAATTATTAGCCACAAAGAAAGGAGCTGATAATGTTTGAGCCTGAGACATTTCAAGGTAGAAGTGGTTTTGATTTGAAGGGTTTAGCTGATGTTCTTCGTCGCTCATGACAGTAATTACCGAGCCTCAACCAGCTGTCATTACTTTAAGAAAGAATATTATTGCTTAGAGCAAAGACATATTTTTCGGGTGGCTCTGAAAACCACTCAAATGTGGGAAACCTGAATATGATTTCTCCTCATGAGGTTCAATTACCTGCGCTGGAGCTTTGATCGTGTTATTCGATGTTTCGCTAGCAGCTGGAATTCACCGTGTTGTCGCCAACTTAGCGACTTTATCGCTATATTTAGCGAGTTTTCAGACCCCCTTAGCGACTTTTTTTTTCTAAAAAGCGACTAGCGACAAATCTGGCGACTTTTTCTGGTATAACTGGAGACTTATTTATGACGACTTTTTGACGTGAAAACGCGTATCACTCTTACTCTCAACAAGCAGCGGTGCTGCCTTGGGCACCTCACGCCAAAGCGCTCACAGGCGGAGGATAGTCCTCCCCCAGCTGCTATCAGGGCAGGAGACGTTCACACCTGTGCGTCCAAACGGCAAATGAATCACGCATGAGCGAAGCCGCTGCTCCCGCACTGACTGTAACGCAGTCAGTTCTTTTACTGTTATGCTGTTTTGTGGATCACAAGGTTTAAAACTACTTATAAACACACACAAAGTAACTCTACCAGAGCGCCAATTTCGGGTCACTTTTGCTGGTCCAGGCCCGGGTAAAGGAGCAGGGTTGGAATTGTGACATTAAAAAACAATAATTGCTAAAAGAAGTTTAATTTGTAGTTCTAAATAAATTCTAACTGCATTTAGGACGTTTTTTACTCACTTTGTCTCTTCCACGATGTTATTTCTCTCTCCAACAACGTAGGTTACAATTACATTAGCATGACCAATTGTGCAAATTAGGCGATGGCGTCATTTGGCGACTTCTAGCGACTTTTAGGACAGCCAATAGCGATTTTCTTTACTGAGGAGTTGGCAACACTGGTTGTCCTAATTTGCTTTAGTACCAACATCCAGTGTACAACTATAGTTAATGTTGCCTTTAATGAGTTCCCTGAAAACAGCCCTGTCCGAGTTTTACAATCTTTCCAGTTAACACACTAAAAAAATTGACACTGGATTTACTTGGTGTAAAGAGCCTCTAATCAACCAAGTTCACTTCAGTTTGATTTATATTGGGCCAAATCATCATCTTATCATCTCATTAATCAAGTCATCTTAAGGCACTTTACAATAATACGGAAACAACCCAAACAATGAGATGACTCCCTATGAGTAAGCACTTGGTGGGAAGGAAAAACTCCCCTTTAACAGGAAGAAACAAATTTGCTGTGACTCGTTGGGGGTGAGGGGAGAGAGACAAAATACACACTGTAGAAGAAAGCCAGAGATTAATAATAACTCATGATTAAATGCATTAAGATGAATTTAATCATGAGTTAATATTATTCTTAAAATAATTAAGCATAATAAATACCTTACATATAGGGACTTTTTGAAACATTAATAGAGACAGGATCTAATTACAAAAACAGGCAGTCACAGTCGTGCTCTATTTTCAAACGTTCCCGAACTACAACAGCAGCGTCGGCACAAAGGTCACTGTGCCCCCTCAGCTGAGTTCTCCTGATATCACTCAACTCCAGGTTACTTTAATTCATAACATTTGGTAAGAAAAAACGTGAACACCTACATCGCTGATGAGCTACTGCAAGCTCACTTTAATTATTCGGTTAACAACAGTTTAGCGCTTGTCCATTAACTAGCATGACTGAGGAGGACACTTCTGTATTTCATGTCAGCTAGAAGGAGGTCATTCATCAGCTTTGCAGCTAGTTTTGAGGCATGAGCCCAATGGAAAACTGGAAAACAAATGAAAATGTGTTGAGGACATTGTGAGCTCAACACATTGTTGTAGTTTGTGCTGAGTTCATTGGTACGCTACTGCAGCGAGAGAAAATGTCTCTCCTGCTTTGCATCTGCGATCTAACATAGATATTTTTGCACTTTTATAACTGTGGCTACATTTCTCTATGAGTGTAAAAATCATAGCTGTGACTATGCATACCGATTCATGGGTGTGGTTGAAAGTAGCTCGTTAATTAAATGTGTCACATAGCCTGTAAAGGTGGCACATACATTTTGTAATCATACAGGACTGACTCTGGTAGTACCCTTTATGAACTGGCAAAGCACTAACATTTATGTTCTCCACAGTAAGGGATGGATCTAAAATATTGGTTTAAGACATTTTTACACATTTGTATTTGTGGTTTTCACCTTTGTGCTCTTAATCTTACTAAATGTGGCTGAAAAGCTAAGTGGACACAGAGGTAAAATCTTACCCTGAGCTTTTCTTTCTAAGGTTAGTGACTTGTGATGTAACCCTTTGGAGATCAGGCCTACCTGCCCAGAAGCTTGACCCTCTGCTCTTGGGCTTCTGGATATTGATGCTCGGGGCTCCGAACGCACTACGTTCTGGTTGCTGTAGTAACTGACGCTGCTGTCCTGGTAGCCGCTGTCAGAATACGAGGTCATCTGGACCGAGTGACCTCCTGAGCCTGGAAGGAAAGCACAATAAGAGGCCTCAGTGCTTCTTGTGACACATTAAAGCAGAACGTGGTGTGATCAAACCACAGCCACCCCGACATCAGTCACTGCGGTTTACTGCGATTTGCATAGTATCTCACTCGGCTTTCAACTTGTTAAAAAGATATTATGCGTATAAATACATACACGCGGACATCTGCATTAAGCCGTTCCTGGAACAATCTGCTGGCCTACTTTCTCCTGTAGCACCAGGAGGAGGAAGCGTGGGTGATATTTTTACACTTCCAGTGCACTCCAGCTGTATGCAATATAAATAAGACCAAAGGCAAGTTTGTTTTAAACATTACAAATCGCTACTCAGATGTTACATATTTACTAATGGTACCGATAATAAATGTGGAGGGAGAAGGAGGCCGAGTCTTTTTCTGCGTCGTGCTTTAAAAACATGAATAAAACCAGCAAGTGTTCTGCACATATAAGAATTCACAGCTGCACACACTGCTTCGCTTTGCTGGCCGTCCAACTTTTTTGTGGTTTAACACAAGCTTCTGAGGTAGCTTGATGGACCAAAGTGTCAAACACTCCAGTGAAGATGCCTAATGTCCAACCGCTGTTGGAGATTAGGCAGGCTGTGGCTGTAATGCAAAGCTCCCACGAGTGAATACGTGGGAAACATTTCCGCCAAACATGGCAGACTATAAAAAATAAAACTCAGACAGCAGAGCGGAGGCGGATATCAGGTTCTGGGTATTTTAGACTCATCTGAAACAGTGTGGGGCCTTTGGCATCTCTTAAATGTGATCAGATTGTCCAGTGTGGGTTCAGAATTGTGGACTTATATTCACTGGTTGGTAAAATGCTGCTGTGAAGCCTCGGGCTGAGCTTTGGCTCCCTCAGCATCTGGTGTTTAGACTTGATGAGAGAGGGGTGGATCTGACTGTGAAGCTGAAGGATGCTACATGCTTGTATGGTAGACATTCCTTAAAACTTAGTACTGTAAAAAAGCCTTGAGCCACCCCTCATTTCTTGTCATTTCTTCAAGTAGTCTTCAGGAATATTTCTCCAGGCTTCTTGAAGGACATCCAAAGCTCTTCTTTGGATGTTTTGTTCTGTTCTCTGTCCACATGATCCCACACTGCTTCAATAATGTTGAGGTCCAGGCTCTGGGAGGCCAATCCATGACTGATAGTGTTGCATTTTGTGTTACTGCATTGGCAGTGTGTTTGGGCTCATCAACATCCAAAAATAACGATGGTACCCATCAGATCCTTTTCAGATGATATTGCATGCTGGATGAAATCCCGTTGTTTTGCAGCCACAGGAAAGTGTATCCCGCAGTGACAGAGCAGACCATGAACTCCTTTGTATACCAAAGTATTCTAGAGGCCATCTGTCCAACAGCTAAAGCTTGGCTTAAACTGGGTCGTGCAACAGCACAATCACCCCAAACATATCAGCAAATCTACAACAGAATGATTGAAAGAGAAAAGAACGAAGGTGTTGCGATGACCGAATTTGGACAAAAATTCCTCCACAAGATTATGAGAGATATATTCAAGTTACTGCTGCTAAAGGTGGTTCGATAAGCTATTGAATCAAGGGGTGATGTTGTTAATATAAATCATTTTAGGACCAGAAGATTTTGCTTTGTCCCAGTATGTAAGATTACAAGAGGGTGTACTTATTTTGCTGCATGGCTGCAGAGTAAACTAAAAATGCTGGTGTTTTCCAGAATCTGCACTCAACATCATGAACTTTAGTCCCTTCCTAAAGCATAGTTTAAACCGTGTGCTGAGTATATTTAACAGACCCTCACTGCCATGTAGGGATGCTCGGTCCGGCTCCGGCAGGAAGAGTCCCTCCTCTGCTTCCAGGTGACGACCAGGACATCCAGACCCCTCTGTGGCTCCGCCCTGAGACTCTCCGCCTGTTGTACGATTAAAAACATGCAAAGACTCTAGCATTAATGCACGTACTTCACACACATAGATTCACACGCATTGAAAAACACAGGTATGGCAAATCAACAGCATCATCTCTGCATCAGTTCTTTTTATACCACGTCTTTTATTTCAGGGGAAAGATGACAGTGAAGAATGGGATGGAAATCTGAGGAACGGGATCTGTGACGGAATAGTAAATGGACCCAATTCAAAGCTTTTATACATACAGTATATATACTGGCAGAAACATTGCTTTGCTTTGCTTGACCGGCTGGTGCTGCATTCTGGCAATGTTCAGCCTTTTGGAGGCTATCATAGCTTTCTCATGTTAAAAAACAAAGTTCTTTCAGCGGCCTAATCATATACACTTCATCCTATCTGAAACTACAGCATTTACCATTTAAATGAAAGTACCGCAGGCATGGAATAAAACTCCTCTGAGCATCACTGAAGCTTTTTGCCTTCATGTAGCCTTCATGCCAACACTTTATATTACCATTTTGTATCTTTTATTTATTACATAATGTTAAAGGTTAAACAAAAGAAGTCATACCTGCGGATCTCCATGCAAACGACTTCTCGGATGAGCTTCGGCAGCAGAGCAGATGAGGAAATGGAGGAGGCGAGAGAGCAGAGAGAGAGGTAAATCAAATTAGAGTCACTGTCAAATAGTCTACGTCCGATCAGACCAGGAAGAAGAAGGAAGACGGTAGGGAAGATATAAGAAGATAAACTGGATAGGAAACCATCTCGTGAAAAAAGCATCCAATACACAAGAACAATGAAGAAAGTAACGCTGTGTGAGTTCAAGTCACTTTTTACACAGACTGACTGAAGTCTGAGGAAACACCTGCAGCTGAAAACAAATCATTTATACTGAAATGAACACCGAAAAACCCCCCATACAAATACAACTACCTCTAAGAATATGACCAAAGTCAAAGCTCTGTTTAGGTCACTAGATATTGTAATGCTTATTGTCTTATGATTTGTGGACCAATGTTACAACTTGAAGCATCTTTTAAGGGTCAAAATTACAGACGTTGTAATTCCCTCGAAGCACAGGCAGACGCAAGTGGTTTTCTGTCACTGATTTATTTGAAGACTTCTCTCCAAAGCCACCGTGAAAACTATACAGCATTAACAAAATAAAACTCAGCATAAGACACAGCAGTAAAAACACTGTACAACAAACACGATAAATAAATAAATA